TATATTAAAGAGGTTCTCATACACCATCACCAGAAGGCTAATAAATCAAAGACCACTGGTAATACTAGATATGAGTTGAGGGTTGAAGGAATATTTCCTCAGTTGAGACTATACTTCTAAGCTCTGTGAGTCTGTTATTCCAACAAATAATGCAGAATAAATTTAGTTGCTAGTTAATAAAGCACCAACTGCTGGCACAAACTATAGGAGAGGAACATTTTTTCTCTCAGTTCATGCGGATGGCTGCTTAATGGGAACAGAGAATGAGTGCATTATCTACATGTAACAATGGAACTGCAATGTTCAGAACAAGCACATTATTTCATATTTTGTGCTGTGATTGTATCACATTAGACATAATGGGGAGTTAACAGCATACATATGTAAATCTCTACTTTTCCTTTGTTGCTTTATTTATTGTGTTTGCTCTTAGTCATGTTCAGGAACATTATGCTGTAATGCAGGCATGAATCAATACTTATGAATTACAGTGCTCCTACTCTAATGGCAAGCTACTGCAGTGCTGTACCTAGCTTGAAATGTATTTAGTGCATATTGAGATGATGGATACTAAACTACCAGTGCACTTAACGGGAAAATTCTGTGTAATTATATGTTAAATGTATGGACTATACATACATACATATGACACAATAACTGGTGTGAATTTTAAAATACAATGTACTGTTAGTGTGGGGGAAAAAAAGGAACCTTTTTCTTTCTTACATTTCTAAGAGAGGATCCTCAATGTGCTGCAACATCACTTTCTTGATCTCTGGTTGCTATGGTGATCTTATTTTGTTTAAATGTGGTATTATGTGTGCTCATTGCCAATGTTCAGTTCAGCATTGGATGACACACAAGTAAAAAAAACTATTCAAAAACTATTTTTCCCATCTATTTATTATACTTCTATCTGCTTCTCATCCCTTTCTTTCTGTCTTTCTTTCTTTCTTTCTTTCTTTCTCCAGTGCCTATTTTCTTGTTTCCTCTCTTGGCCTCTGCAATGCCTCTTATTGCCCTATACACAGCATTAATAATTGAGAGCATTTTATGCAGACAGTGAGTTTTGGTGCCCTGAGCTCTTTGGTCACGGATCCATGGCACTAATGCTGGGTGGCAGGCCAGTTTGAAGCCCCACACTCCAAGTCCAGGCTAGGGCACATCTGTCTGGCTGACTGGCCAATCTATGGCCCCCCGATCCCAGAGCTATTATGCACACAGCTGACATGGACACACACATGTGTGCATGCACACTTTGAGGATTCACAGACCATTTACTCTGTGATCTGTAATGCTCACATCACACTTTTGCACCTTTCTACAACCAAAGGCAACAGACAATGACTGACATTTTCAAAACCCTAAATAACAGTGAGCCGCTGTGCCCTCTCTTCTCTCTTATAATCACTATAATTCTCACTCACAGACACACCATCATACAGCCTATTGTACTCTAGTGTAAGAATGAATTACACAGTAAGAGAGAATGATGGCTTGTGAGAGTGAGACTGAAAATATGTCTGAGAGAAGTTAAAGTGTGAGAAAGAATGACTGTGCATGTGATGGGAAATATTACTTATTAAGAGAGTGTTTTGTTTGAAAAAGAAGGTAGTTTCATTGAAAAGGAAGGCAGTTTAAATTCTCAGTTTCTGACTGGTTTTCAGCCTTCTTAAAAAGGCCTGTACCTACTACAATAAGCGGCATTCCTTGCAATGTTATGGCTTCAAGGAGAATTTAAATCAAGCCACAGAGCATTGAAGGACAACTTAAAATTCACGTTTGTTAGAACAAAAGCAAGGTCACCAGAACCATGATTTGTCTGATTACTTACTGTCTTCACTTCATGGTTTTAAAGCCAACAAGCAACAGAAAGTGCAATACTATTTACATTTCAATCAAACTCACTCTCCCACACAGTTATTCTAAGTAACATATACTGCCATTTTCTCTTGTATACAGTATAGTATCATTCTGTTTAACAAACACTACTACTCTCAATTGCACGCAGTACAATATTGTTTTCTCTTACAGTACAGTCTTCCGGTATGTCTTGATTTATTCATGCATATTTTCACTGTGTTTGTGCAGTCTCTGTATACTCACCAAAAACAGCCAGTGTAGTGGCTGTACATCTGCTAGCTAGCTAGTTTGTGTGACTCTAAGTAATCTCAAAACAGAGAGAGAAGCCCCAGTTTGTTCGGTAATTTTCATCCAGCCCTTTTGTCTTGTTGGTTCTGTATCTTTATGAAGTGTCCTCTTTCTATTGATTCTGTATGCAATGCCACTTCCTCTAACATTCTCTTTGCTTTCAGTTTGAACATGTTTAGTTGTATAATACACTGTGATGGTGTATATAAGAGTGCATAGGATAGGATTTACATTCAATGGCCTCTTTATTGGGTACACCTGCACAAACTATTGCAATTCAATACAGCTGCTTGGTAACAATGGTAATCTATCGAGTGGCTGGTTAAATATGAACATTCACTAGCCATTTGCTCTAGTGGACAAAAAAGTTAATTCTGCTCCCTGGGTGGTGTTGTACTGGACCACATTATATTGAGAGGTGTTTCAATTTTTTGTTCTCCCTATTGACATTCATAAATGGGGCAGATAATTAAAAAGAGAGCCACTGCACACATGCCCCTTGAATTGGGTTGTGGTTGTTGCCAGGTTGTGTTGGCAGATTGAAATTGCATGCAGTGTGTGGGTTGTGTCTGATAGACAATCTGGCAAATTGGATGACGTCATAAACATCTCAACTCGTACGGCGATTAATTATAATAAAGTTCGGCGGATGCCAGGAGATGGCCCTCAAATACGGGAGAAATCTGGGGAAAATAGGAGTGTTGGCAGGTATGAGTAAAACACCACTAACTATGATCTCAATGGTAACACATGTAATTTAATTAACACCTCTTTGAGAGTGCAAAAACTGAACATTACAAGCACCATAAAAGGCTTTAACTGTATTGAATTGCATTAGTTTGTACAGGTTTGCCTACTTGGCAACTGGTGGCAACTGAGTGTATGTGTGCAGGAGAGAGAATGTAGATTATGATAGTGAGCACAATAAAAACATTATTGTGGATATAAGAAGGTATACGCTAGTGTGGGAACGTGATTTATGAACTATACGGCCACTAATAAATACAGAATAGATGTTTCATAATGCGTATGCAAGTATGCGTTCGAGACGAAAGGGAGCCAGAGCACAGAAGCAGACGTGCAGGTGTGCAAGTGAATCCGAGAGAGTGTGTTTATTTCTATGAGATGAAGGTGGGAAGGGATGACGGGATTGAGGGTGGATGAGAGGGAAGGGAGGAGGGAGGAGGAAGGAGTGCTCCAGTCCTGTCGCCTTGGGTGCATCAGCAGCAGGAATTGTTCTCTGCCCTGTGGGGGCCATCTGACTGTTCTGTCACCCTCTACAGAAGGCTGACTCTGCCTTAAAGTGCTCGGCCCCACGCCTGCAGTTCGACATGCTTGATGTTTAATACATACACAGGGAGAATATTGAGAACGCCTCAGGAGAAATGCAGTACACAGGCTTTAAGGGAGAGTTTTTTGTCAGTTTGTAGAACAACCAAGAATAGAGGAGCTCCTGTACAAAGTGTGCGTGGGCAGGCCGTGAACATAATTGTCCAGAATTCGAACCAGAGCTGGAGCTCCATCATACCATACGAGATCCAAGAGTTAAGCACCTCTTAACAAAACGCACTTGTGGTGAGTGGGGGACAGCTTCACACCGGTGATTGCGTAATACACTGACTTATCTGTGCCAGAAAATATACATCACGTTCACACATGAGGTTTCTGTCAACATAACAGTGAACTTATCACGTAAGCTGAAAATGGCTCGCCCAATGTGCTCCTGTACTCCCGCAATCAGCATGAGTGTAATTCAGGGCATCACTCCTCAATAAAGCAGGAGAACGGGCCTCAGGGGTGACCCTCCTGCTTAAGTCAACACAATGAGTGTAATGAGGTGAGATACACACACACTCATAGGCACACTCATACACACACACTGGAGATGGGAACCCTTGCTGCATAGTAAGTGGATTTCATTCATCTACATGCACTGAGCCTGCTGTAGAAGTTCTGCTCACACCCACACATTCAGCAGCACAGCGAGCATTTCACTCCATGGCTTATTACAGGTGAGAATATCATTACCACCTGATTTAGAGGTACAGTTGTGGCAAGAATGCATGCTGCTTTCTGCACTAAGTGATTTCAAGGTATTAATTTACACCAAACATGCACCTTAACAGACAGAACTTGTATTTTGGTGATAATAATCCTCAGTGCCAGCGATCAATGGCGAAAAATTAAACATTACACTGAGATTAAAAGCCAGTTTCTGTTTGACATGTCTGTGTCTCCTCTAGTGCATCTAACAGTCTGTGAGTTCATCAGTTCTGACTCCATAATTAATCAACCCTGCTGTGTAAGTAGGACTGGTGCCTTTTCTCTTATCATCACGTACAGCAACCCACGCCCTCCGGGCCATCAGCGGATTAATGATGAGTGCCCCTGATAGGAAAGCCCCTCACAAAGGCTTTATTAATTAGCCTCGCACCGACACCGTGGCCGCAGTGTGCAACACATGTTCACTCTAATCAAAACTTTAAAAGGGACATGATCGACCTCCCAATCACCCACTGTACTGCACTGCATGGTATTAAACCTTGATGCGTGCATGCATTAAGTTACGGGTGTGTGCAAAGGGGGTGGGAAGTGCACCATTTCCAAATTAGCAAGGCAACTTTCACACATCGCTGACCAACCGGTTATGCTGCACTTTACTAAGAAGCCCATGAATGATTGATCGGACAGGTGGGATCGAGTATGGAATAATTCAGAGGCGATAAAGACAGACAGGCGCGCTGAACGCTCCTGAAACTGTCCAGATGTCACCAAAAGTGGAACCAAAATGGAAGAGATGGAGAGATAGAGATAGAGAGAGAGAGAGAGATCAGATGTGTTGTACTCACTCGCCCCCCGGTGCGTTAGAGGAGCATCCCGGTCTCTCAGGGCCAGCTCTTCAGATGAGTTCTCCTGGGACAGCGCGCCTTGATCCTCACTATCATTCTTTGCCAAGCTCCAGCCTCCTCGCAGCCTCACCTTACTCTTCTTCTTTTGACATCACATGAAAAAAACAGCTGCATGCCAAACGGAACTCGCCTTTAATGGTTGTATCGGGGTTACAGTCGTCCGTCCCTCTGTATGTGGAGCACAAGTGACAGCGGCGGATTCCTATTTGAGGGGATGCTGACGCGCAACCGGAGGGGCTCGCCTCCTGCCTTTCTCATCTGGCTCCATCAGCTCTCGGTTAAGGCAGCAACCATGTGACTGAAACCACCGTCAAGACGGAGAGAATGGCAAAGCTGGTTTCCGGTAGATGATTTCAAAATAAAGCAATTATCATTATCATCGTGTTGCCCAAAAAGCATTAAATGAGGGAATACAGTAAAAACAAAAGAAGGAAAAAATAAAGATATGTTTTACCCATTGTAAAAATATTACTAGACCTACAGCAATTTTAAACATTTAGCCTATATGCAACTGAGAAAACGTACTACACAGTATTTATAGACAGTAATTGAGTCATATGTGTAAGGTTTTTTTTATTAAACATAAGGAACAAACAAGTTAGGGAATATGTATACACACATCTGAAGGAAATAAATCAATTTACAATGGTGGAAATGATACTATAGCACAATTGAAGATAGCAGCAGACAATATAGGTAACATATACTAAAAAACAAGAGAGATAAAGATAAAACAGGTAACAAAAAGACAAAGAAAAAGAAGGAAAACAAACATCAATGTAAGTTTTGCTACTGCAAATACCAATGGCAATCCCTCCTGCAGGTTACAGCCACTAGGGTTAATGGATGAAATCACAAAATAATTAATAATTTGTTCCGGTTTTGACAGTATTTATATGTATATATAAAAAAAATAAAAACAAATTAAATAATGAAAAAGTTTTTTCGATGCAGTAAACTGTATTTCAGTTAGCTCACCTGTTCTCATTAGCTACTAATGCCAGCTAACTGTATGCTAACATTAGCCGCCCATTCAGCATGAAACAGGAGCGAGTAAAAGTAAAGGAATATGTTTTTGTACACCAAAGAAAGCTGAGAATACCTGTGAAAATTGGACTATTCACATTTACCTAGTTGTTTGTCAATATGTTAGCCACTACAGTTTATGTTGAATGACTTTAATTGAATCTTTGTGCCCTTTAGCAGTAAAAAATAGTCGCCTAATACAGAGGCTTTTTAAAAATGTAATTTGCAAAAACATATAGCCTATGGCCTCATTTTCCAAACTAACTGTTTTTAAAGGCCAGACCATTAAGCTATAAAAATGTACAATAATAACTATTTAAAGAGTGAAACCTGATCCCTTTTTAGGCCTACACGTTATCAAGCTGTCCTGCTCTAAATCTACGCTTCGATCAGGAGCTATTAGGAGATAATGAGCAATAACCTACCTAATCACTGTACAGGTATGGATTTGATATGAAAGAGATGAGAAGAATTAGAATTAGAAGCTGCAATTTTTAAGTTGTTCTTCATAAAAATCTTACATTTTACATTTTACATGAGGTCTGTTCGTGTTTATCACTTAACATGACCATGGGTCAGGTTAGTGTCGCCCCAACTTTCCAGCTTCTCTGGTTCATACAGCTGTTTTGTGCTCACATTTTTTTCCTATCCAACTTCTGCATTTAGATCATAGACTGCAGCTAATCTAGACAGTGTTAAGGTGAGGCTATTCGTTTCTATTCTATCAAATACAAGAAGAACTTTAACTAACGACATACCTTTATTTTGAAGGAAACCTACATAATTTCCTGTATTTTTCCAGCGTGTGTCTGGCTTGACGCACCTGCAAAGGCACCCATTCAATTAAAACCGACCTCACAGACGAGTGCCTCCAAGCGGCCAGCGTTACAATAACATCAACTATTCAAAAATGATTCTGGGGACCATTATTTCTCCACCAAAGCATAATCCCATTATAAATTATTGACATGTTGCTCATAATAGCTTCTGTATTTATTCTTCATTGAGTCTGGAACTTTCTTCATGGCAAAATAGTGAAGGAAAGTCCGATGAGACTGTGCCTCCAAGGGCACATGCATAATCTTAAAATTTTATGAGCGTGAGCCTAAATAAAGAAAGCATTCATATGCTTGTGAGACAGCCAGTGGTGGCTGTAATTTTCAGCAATGTAGAGTAGTTTGTGTTGATAAATGTCCTGTAGAGCTGAAGGGAGCAGCTCATTTTGCAGATTTAAGGTAAGATTATGATGTATTATTTGCCACAGTAGGTGTTAGTTGTACTAATGCAAAATATTCTATATTGTTTCTTTTTACCAACAGTAACTCCGTAGGTGACATATATTTCAGCATGAATAATGGCATCTTTTGTAAGCCTGTGGTATGAACAAACTACTGTTTCACCACAATAAGTGTAAGTGTACGAAAAGGATACAATGCACTTTGCTCTAATGTCTCCGTCAGCCTCACAAATGAGGAACTGGCTGTTAGATAATAGTGAAACAGACTTCTCTTAAGTGTGTGCATTAGGATTTTTCACTGAGGTGTTTGCGCACCAGAGAAACAGAGAAGGAAAAAGAAAACAGAGAGAAAGAAAGAGGGAGTGGGAACTAGAAGCGAAGTCTAAGACGCTTTCAAAGACAGAAAGGCCTTGTCCTTTTGAGGTCCTTTTTCTATTGTTGTCCACTACGAGCCAGACTCTTGGGTCTCCTCCACAATGCAGGTCCCCTCAGAGCAGCGCACCACTGGCTGTCCTGTCACTTCACATTAGTGTCTTTGTGGAGAACAGCAGCCCCTGAGGGCTTGGACACACTTGTCATGAAAGAAGTGTTCTGGACACACACACATGCACACAAAGTGAGTCGATAAGGAGGTGTTGGGCAAAATGGGCAAAATGGGAACACAAGGAAAACCTCCATCAAGGCTTCTAATAGAACTGTGACAGTGACCTTATTTCAGCCACGGCTCTCCTCTTTCAGTCTCACTCTCTCCCACCCACCCACATACATGCACACACAGACATTTTTTATGGCACACATTCGGAAAACATGTCCTCATAAGAAATGCAGTTTTGAATGAGTGAGCTTCATGCATACAAGAAGTGCAAGGCAGCCATTAATGTATTCTACTAGCAGCTATTGCATTTACTGGCTTCATGTGTAACAGTAAAACATGACATATGTTACAAACAAATTGGTTAATGCCACTTGACTACACATAAAAAAATAGTTCCTACATTTAATAACACTTTAGGCCCACTGGTCAGACTGGTTTGTCAGTCTTTACTAACGCAGGTAGCCATGCTTTTTCTAAACCTACAGAACTTAAGGTTAAAATGCTTCCAAAGATAGAAAATATATTAGCCTGAAATGTGTAAAGAATGATGGACAAGACATAATACTGTAGCCATAAAATCGTGGTGATGTGGATTTGAATATTTCACACAGTATAAACATCATTGTTGAAACAAGCAGAACGAAAGGTTAAAAAGTTCTTTCTTGGCCTTGAAAACTGTAAATTCCAACTCAAGGTGCACTTTCCCAAAGCTTTGAACCACAATACAAACTCTCTCTCATCCTTGTTGACATGCAAGCTCTGTAGCTGTTATAATTGAATCCATTAAGACAACTGAGCACACACTCCATCTGCAGATAAAAACGGTGTGATATGGTTAAAAAGCTCCAGAAAAAGCTAGCAAGTGGCTTGTTTTATCCAAGAGCACATGGCCCATATGTGGTACTGTAGTCTAGCCATAAAAAATGGATAAACCACCTGACTGTGCACAGATTACATAACACAATGAAGAATGTGCCTAAGAATGCTTATCTGAGGCAAGAAAATATGACTAGAATAAAAAATTCCCAGAGCAAGGACAAACTATCAGTTATCAGCAGACCTAGAGGAGCAGGTGGAGGATATTTGTATGTGAAGCTGCTGAGACGCTCAAGCTGCTTCAAATTAATCACGATGCTTATTTTTTCAGTTTCATGATAAAAATTTTTTTTTTTTTTTTTACCCTTTAAAAAACTACGCAAAATCGTGGCCTGCTCGCTTGCTTCGCATAAATACCCCGAGGTTAGTTTTTGGCGATCGGGGGGAGCTCCCTCCTGGGCCCGGGGCTGGGCTCAAGGTGGGCAGGGCGGCGTGGGACGGCGGAGGAGAGAGAAGGAGAGGAGCGGCACTTTAAAAGGAGCGTGTGTGATGAAATCAGATGTGAAGTGTTCCCTCACTCAGTCCGCAGACGCGTAAAAGATTCATCAAGCTGGTGGTGAGGAGGGAGAGGTGGAACCTGCCTCCGCGCACTCCGAGAGAGGAGGGAGGAGGGTGACTGGGAGAGTTGCTTTTAAGATCTTTTCTATTATAAATCATACCGAGCAGGGGGCTACCCAGGAGGCAAATGGAGATCCAAACAAAAGGTCTGTGTGGAGAAAGGGATCAGGGCAAGGAGGATTTGGAGAGAAAGGGAAAAGGGATGAAGGAAGTGAACAAGAGCAGAAGTAGAGTGTAAAGAAATTTGCCATAAAAATAGAACTTAAACCTGGAAAGTGGCCCCCACTGAGACTGAAAGGGACGCCCAACATAAAGGGGACCTTTAAGAATCTTAATTTATTTAATTATTGTTGTAGGAACTGTAAAATAAATGGGAGGAGACGTTTGGCTTGTATGCAAAAATCCACATAACTGAGAATAAATTTGGCTTCCATTTTGAATAATAAGCCTATATTATTGTGCGGTAGAGTGCTTTTTTTTTTTTTTAACTTGTCAGAGTGGAGTTTGAACCTATGACCACAAGATGGCGCCTCGGTGTTACTGTAATCTCCATCAGCAGCATTAATAGCAGCTAAATTAACCCGGCGCCCCTTCCTCAACACACGCTCACAGACCTCAGTGTGAGACACTAACGTCAGTAAACAAACACCAGTATGGATCTTCAAGGTTTCCTCACCAATAAATGCCATTTTGTGTTGGATTTACACTTTATATGTCCTAATTCAAATTCCCATTAACATTTTTTTTTTTAATTGGCTTCATGTATCCGGTCACCATGACAGTAAATTGATCGCTGTTTAAATATATTTGAAATAACGAGCGCGCACTTTCTCTGCAGCCAACACCACAGACAGCTTTCACAAACCAGTTTACGCCCTCAGTCAGCCACATCCCAGTTCCCCTCCCGGTTGACTACCCCACTACCAAACACCACCAACCTCCCACCCCTCCTCCACCTCCTCCTCCTCTTTTACACACCGGCTCGCAACCACACACCCCAGTCAGTCACCTCAAGTGCGACCGGCCGGCTGGAGCGGAGGCAAACAAACAGACCCAGGCCAGCCAGGGCGATCCTGCCGCGTGTTTTTGGCTCAATCTCAGAGACACCGGAGCACAAGAGGAGAATGGGACGCCGGTGCTTGGATCAGGACTGAGTCTGGTCGGCGCGTTTAGAGCTTCTCCGACCCGTTTCCAAGTCCTTTTTCTAACCGGCTCAGAGTCACGTTTTCGCCGCTGACACAATGGGCTGCTGCAGCGGACGATGCACTCTCATCTTTATTTGCACTTTACAGTTGGTGAGTTGAGCCGTACTTCTTCTCTACTTGTTGTTTTACAAGTTTTAATTGTGAGACAAAAAGGCTTCAGTGTTACCGTAATATTTTTTTTTTTTAGAATGACAAACTACTTTATAATTAGATGTCTGTTTTAACTGGGCAGTAGTCCATGCTCTTTTAATCCGATCACAAAATATGTTATATCAAGATATCAGTGAATCATAAAAGTTCTTTAACTCACTATAAGTACAAGACACACTACAAATAGGTTATATATTTTCTTACACACCTTGACTTGTGTTGATATTTGCTGAAATTGCATTTGATAGAAATCATGACCCTTGATTGATAGATTTTGTGTCCATTCTAAGTAAGTAGTGTTTATTTCTTTCTTTATCTGAGATTCACTGTTGTGACAGTAAACATAATGGTGCTGTTAGTGTTAACTAGTCAGCTCCTCTCAGCACTAACACCCCCAAGTAGTGGCACAGTGATGGACAGTATAGGGGTAACTATATGCTGTGTGATGCACGATGAAAGTGCATCAATACATATATGGATTTGCTCTTGTGAATATTGTAATAGTGACCTAAATATCCTAATATATATTCAAATACGGAGCATCACCTAAAGTGTCGCAGCCATGTAGTTCTGTGTCATGCATCAGTTATTTGATCAAAGCTCATGTCTGTATTTCAGATGAATGTCCAGCTGCTGTCTTGTGATGTAAGACATCTTCTCTGATCTTTAGATTTAAGGGATATGTTCACCAAGAACTCGGGCCATTTTGGGAAGCATTGATCCACAAAACACAGCGGATTCAGAGATGTACATGCTTGTTGGAGCATTTCAGTTTCTGATCAGTGAACTTGACATTTTACTGATGGTAGCTGTGCAGTCTCAGATGATGCTTCCCATTGACTCACAGGCCAGCCCGACTTTGCCACTATCCTAGAGTAGAGTGTACTTGACAGGGTGTGACAAGGTTATTTATGGTGGTATTAAAACTGAGCTTACTCACACCATAAGCCCTCGAGTAAATGTCGCTTTTAACAGCTAGGGGAGTAATAAAATCTTCTCCTGACAAAGAGCCAAATGGGAAAGTTCTGATATATTATAACACGCTTGAGTGAGTTCAGAAACAAAAGAAAAATCCCATGATGGGAGCTGGCAGTTGATATCAGCCATAACTGAGTTGAAAAAGAAAACCCAAGTTTCATACCACTGACTAAGTAATAACACTTGCCCCTCCCATTGAATAATCTTTTATTCCCCCAAGCCAACATCTCAAGACCTCTTCAGAGGTCTCTCTCAGAGTTACAGGTTTTTTGCCTCTGCTTGGGTAGGTACACGCTGTCTCAAGCTTATGCACTTACAAGTAAAGAGGGTGTTCATTTAGATTCAAGTTTAAATGCTTGTTCAGTGGGAAAAAGATGGAAGTGTCATTTGAATGACTTCCGCCTTTGGCTTTAGTATCCTGCTGCCCTTCCCCCACTTCATCTTCAAAATTAACATAGGGCTGGTGTGTATTTGTGGATGCTACCTGTGTATCTGTCTCGTTTCAGCTCTGGGAATTCATTAGATAGTGAGGAATAAGGAACTCGAGTCTATATGGCTTAGGTCACAATGGCCTCAGCATTGCTCCCTTAGTAAAATCATGTCTCACTCTGATGATACACACAAACACAGAGAGCTATGAACCCACCTTGAGGGACACACCTGTTTTCCCTTCCCAGACTTCGGACCTCTTTGCCTCATTAGAGAGAAGGAGGTCGACCATTTATTAAGAGGTTTATAATGCTGTCAGCGGGCTGCCTAAAAAGTCCCTGAAGACTCCTGGAAACAGCTTTATTTTCCCCAGGCACTATTTCTGGATGACCTGACACTTCCTGTCTGCAGAAACACACACACACACACACACACACACACACACATTCACACATGCACACTTCTGATGAGTTTAACCTGCAAAGAGGGGTTGCATTAAACCCTGCATAACCTTTCTGAAAGGTCATCAAGGTTGTAGGCGCGTGTGTCTATGTGTGTGCGTGTTCACATGAATATACATGTGTGCATGTGTGTGAAGCGGCACAAGGGGCCCCCACTCTCCCCTGGCTGAAACCTATGCATTGACAATGAGCCAGGTTATTCCCAGTCCATTACAGGGTAAAACTACCATTAACAAAACAACATACTCTGCTCCTCAGATGTAAAAATAGCCCTTGTGAACCGCTGTGTGTGCTAATTACCCAGGCAGAGTGCTTTGATCAAACCTCTTTTGGCATCTCGGCCATCCCCTAATTGAATTGTGGTGCGCTTTCCTCATCAACAGGCCGAGCGGTGGGACTCATCTCTCTGGGACAGAAGGCAACAGATAATGAGCCGGTATTGATCGAAACGCCTCTGTTCCCTCTTCCCTCTGCAGCCTAACTATTCCAGACAGTAGGGCTGGATCGTTGTCAGAACCCCGATCAGCCCCAGAGAATGGCAAGCGTTGGCAGGAAGCCCTGTCTGTCTAATGATTTGTTTGTAGTCCAAGACACAGGCAAGCTCATTTTTGTCTCAACGGGTTGGTTGTTTGAGGTGTTGACCTAAAGCTG